CGTTTGTTTCTTGGCTCGCCAGGAAATCAAAGAATCACCAAGAAAGATGCAAAAACCAGTGACTGATTTTCGAGACTCCAAACAAGACCCCCAATCAGCATCAGCAAAAGCCCGAAGCTGAAGAGAAGAGGTAGAAGAGAAGAACAAGCCTTGGCTAGGAGAGGCTTTGAAATACTTCAGAAGATGAAGTGCTGCAGCCATATGAGGTAGTCTTGGAGCTGAAACAAACTGGCTCAATTTATGAACAGCAAATGTTATATCAGGCCGGGTAACAGTGAGGTATAATAAACGACCAATCAACCGTCTGTAGGAAGAGGCATCTGGTAGGAGATCACCATCAGAAGAAGTGAGCTTAGCCTGAGGATCCATGGGTGAAGAGGAAGGTTTGCAGCCAAGAAGACCAGAATCCTCAAGGAGTTGTAAGGCATAATGACGCTGAGACAAGAATATACCACTAGCAGATCGTGCCACTTCCAAACCAAGGAAGTATTTCAAAGGACCAAGGTCTTTGAGTTTGAACTGGCTGTGAAGGTACCTCTTCAATTCCTCAATAACAGGCAAATCAGAACCTGCAATAATTATGTCGTCCACATATACCAGTAAAGCAACAAAAGACAAACCAGCACCCTTAGTGAAGAGTGAATAGTCAGATTTGGACTGAGTAAACCCATGCAAAACCAGGTCCTGGGAGAATTTTGAGAACCATTGTCGCGAAGCCTGCTTCAATCCATAGATTGATTTATACAAACGACAAACCAGCTTCTCTCCCTTTCCATCAGCCTTCTGATAATTAGTGTAACCCATAGGAAGATCTATATAGACCTCCTCAAAAAGATCACCATTCAGAAATGCGTTATTAACATCTAATTGAAATAGATGCCAGCCTGAGATGGCTGCAAGAGCAAGAAGCATTTTAACTGTGACAAGTTTGGCAATCGGGGAAAAGGTTTCAATAAAATCTAAACCCTCCTGTTGATTGTAGCCCTTTGCTACCAAACGCGCTTTATAGTGTTCAATACTACCATCAGACCTATATTTAATTTTATAGATCCACCGACAGCCAATAGAATGTTTCCCATGAGGAAGGGATTGAACAGACCAAGTGTGGTTTGATTCCATAGCATCTAACTCATTAGCCATTGCCTCCCTCCAATGTTGACATTTAACAGCTTGATGATAAAATTGGGGTTCAGAATTGGAAGAAATCTGGAGTAGATAAGCACGGTGGGAAGAGGAAAGAGAATCATAGGAAATATAATTTGTCAAGGAATAAGAATTCTGAGGAGCAGATTGAGACCTATGGTGAAGCATATGGCAGTGATAAGTTTGCAGGTAGGAGGGTGGTTTGATGATCCTTGAAGACCTTCGAACCACAGGAGGAGGAGATGAGTTAGAATTGAGAGGAGCAGATAAGCCATTATGGTCTGAAGTAAGAGGTATGGGCAGATCAGTGGCTGGAATAGGGAGGACTAAGTCTGGGAAAGGATCAATTAAGTCATCAAGAGTGGTTATTGATTGAAAGGGAAATAAAGTTTCATGAAAAACCACATCACGATACACAAAGAAAGATTTGGATTCAATGTTGTAAAGTTTATATGCCTTGATACCGGGTACATATCCAAC